AAAAAACTGCAGAACTGGTAAGATGGTGTCCATGGTATACCAATTAACACTTATACTACAATCAGGAAGTGAGGAAAACACATGCAGTACAAGAGAACTGGGGTGGGGCCAAGACTGTAACACTAGAAGCTCCCCAGCTCTATCCTTACAAATAAAAGAAATGTCAGTATCACACCAGACACCAATATACAATTTTGCAGCTTCTGCCAAACATTTTGTTTGAATGTTTTTTAACCCATTGAGTGGCAGCACTCAGCTCTCACCCTGATGAGTAAACTATCTAGCGTTAGACAGAGTAAAATAATCTGGCGTTAGGCAGAGTAAAATGCAATGCATTACACAGTAGTCAATGTAAATGTTGAATTTCCTCCATTTCATTTTCTGCATTCACTGCCCCTCCTTCAGGTTCATCATCAACACTGCTACCACTGGGCGTTTCTTCCATTATTCGGTGTGTATGAATGTCCGTCAAGGCAAACAGGATTTATTGGTAAATTAGAACAAGTACAATCAGTTGGCTGATGTAAATCTATTGGTGGAAGTACACTGTCCAGCTCATCATCTTGACTATCTGGGTCACATGGTGGGATTGCCTGGGATGTTGGTGATGTTGAAATATCAAACTCCCCACAATATTGTTATATACTTTGTTACCTCCTTCCCGTGGATCATTAGCGTCGAAGAGCTACATGATATGAAATAAAAATACGTTTAATACAGCTGTATTACAACAATTTTAAGCAAAATATATCAATCACATCATAGATGACTGTATTTTATCTATTAAATTTAGGTATAATACAGTATGACAGGATTTTTATATTTATATTTTATATATAAAATCATCAATACCTTAAAAACACAACTAGAGTGAATTTGTACCAGTGCAGGACTAAAGCAATCAGCAAACAATTTCATCATTTTTTATCCCGTTAACCACAGCTGGACAAAGGACTATTATTCTTCAAACTATCCGTAAAACTATAAACATGAACCTCACGGCATTCAGGTTCATCACACGGTAATCCACTAATCCCTCCGGAATCAAGATTAAAGGCTGTTTTGACACACAGTGAACAAACAGAAGCTCATGTCCACCCAAAAACGAAGCTTTCTTTCCACAAATAGTGCAAAAATTCACCATTTTACAATTTTTTTTCTAAAAATCTTTTCTGAATCTCTCGAAACCTCGAGGTGTAAACACAACGAAAGCCGACCGAACAATGACGGCGCAGAGCGAGAAATCAATAATATGTAATAAACCGCGCCTGACTGCGTTGCATGCCGGTATAGTCCTCACTCCTCCTCTGGTAGCGTATGGAGTAGACCCCAGCAGAAACACGTTCCTGAGGGGTCTACGAATAAACGAAGAAAAGCTAGCCCGGCCTACGTCATATCCATTTTACGTATTGGGTAAATTAACTTCAATTTATTCAAATTTCTGAAGCGTGCGTGAATGTAAGTTTTCATTTGACGCTTATTAAAATGTTCCATGGCAGGCTTTGTGCAATACAAATGTGTTCTTTACTTCAAAGTCCCGTCGAATAAAAGCAATATTAATTTCTTGGAGAGCAAGGACACTGTACATAAGGAGTTAGACGACCTTTTCTTCTCCATTTCACTAACAAATAGCATTTGTACAGCATGCCTGTCCTCCTAGGCCGTAGGATGAGCATCCAAAAGATGCAATTCCGTTGCATCCCTCGTGGAACTACGTAATTTTCACATGAATAAATAGATAAAAACTTACTTTATGAGAATCCGTTGCTCCCCAAGTGAAACAGGTGCACAATTGGGAGAAAAATCCCTCCAAAGTTTGATATTTTCGCGCTTCGAAATATTCGAACCGCCATTATTTTGGTAGCAAATACGCATGCGCAACTCAGCTAAACTCGCACTGCGCACGCGCAGACTATAAAAATAGATTCTCACTGGGGGGTTTCCCCGATTTCCTCCACAAAAACAACAACAGTAAAATCACGGAATACTGATCAAACCTTGTAATATAAATACACTCACATTAAATATTGTTAAAAACACATTGTATATTTTGCTTGCTCACATGCTAAATCACTTCCATTCATTGGCAATACCGTTTTAACGTTTAATTCTACTTTATATTAACATCCTAATTCAATACAAATTTGTGTGAGGTAAAAAACCCACCTGTATCAAACAGGACCGAGAATAAAAAATATATATGCATACAACTCACACGATCAAGGAACAAATGAAATATTTCGCTAAACGCCTTGGCCAAACGTAAGAAACATTGTCGCGGAAATATTCGTGATTTTTAATTGGCTTTTATTGCAGACGCAAAATTTGCTTCCCAGAAAGCAAATTATTTCCTACCAAATTCAGATTTCAGAAGCATTTTATGAAAACTCTTTATCCGTTTGCCGATCGACGCTGATAAGACAATATGACATACCGAAAGATTGGAAAGGCAAATAATATGACAACAGTGTTTCCAGGTTCGTTCCGGGCTTTAAAGGAACTATTACATGTATTATATTTATATTGTGACATAAGTTGGTATTTAGCCACTATCTAGTATAACAAGAAACGATTCAGCCTGGATTTTCGTGTCCACACTAGTTGACTTTTTCTTTTAGATTTGCTGCTGTGAGTTTCAGCTCCTCCACCAGGGTGCGTTTTAGCTTCTCAGACATGACCATACTGTTAACCCTGTCCATGAGAGGGATATATGTGTTGATAATATAAATACTGTGGATCCGAATGAGAATATCGAATAAGTAAATAAATACTGATCTACTCCACTGATAATACCTACATGCATTACCATCATTGTTCACCTCAAATCATTAATAATTCATGAGCAAATTAGCCAACCATATTGCTTTATTTTGCTCACATGATAATACTAGATACTTTATGAAGTATATTGATCCTATAGTGTCCTAGGACTGGATAAAATTAATTCAGTCCTTGGACTGGATCAAAATTAATTAAATAGGGATTTATTCGTATGAGATGTCATTTCAAATCCTCCAATTCGGACTGGACTAGGTTTCAGGACCTCACATTTTGATCCAGTCCTCGGCTTCGCGTTGGACGTGATCAAATTGCGTGGACATGAAATCTAGTCCAGTCCTCATAGTCGGATTTGAAATATTATCCATTGTCAAATCAGATGCCAATGGTGGCCAAGGAAGATTCAGTTTTAGTATTTCTCGCACCTTTTGGTGAAGAATGAATACAGCATTGTATAGAATTTGTAACTCATTGACTTTAGAATTTCCCTCAGTTTCTGTGTTGGTATTCACATCATCGTCATCAATGGTACAGCTCTCTTCATCAAAGTCCTCATCATTGTTTTCAGACTTAGGGCCTGTTTATATGGAAGTCGGGCTGGACTGATAAGCGAGACAGCCCGGTAAGCAAGATCTCGCTGTGTAGTTATTTTTATAGTAAAAATTATCGTGTGTTTATATGGACAAGCGGGCTGGCCCGGTTGCCGAGATCTCGTTTAAAAGAGGCTAGATCTCGCTTACCGGGATGGAAATTTCTCCATATAAACATTTACAAGCAGGCTATCCCGGTTGCCTGGATGAAAGTTCAAAGATACCGCCGCAAGCTATTTTTAACAACTGTCAAAACAATACAATGTAACAAAATTGTCCCGGCAAGCGGGATGAAAGTTTCTCATATAAACACAAGAGAAATTCATCCCGCTTACCGGGCTGTCTCTCTAAGCGGGCCAGCCCGGCTTCCATATAAACAGGCCCTTAATTGACATATGTTCCTCAACCAATTCAGAAGAATCCAAATTTTCCACATATACAATCTCGAGCTCACTAACATTTCTCATTTTCGGTACACAGAACACAAGTTGAGGATAACTTTTCATCAGTCGTTGCTTGAGTTTAAAAGCTCTATATTTAGTGTCCACATTTTCAGTGTCCTTAGCAATGATAACAAATTTCTCCAGCAAATCTTTCATATACTTTATTTGCTTATTTCCGATGATCTCCATCTCAATTACTTTCTTACAGAATGCATCATAAGACTTCTTGTATACTGATGCTCTCGTTGCTTCTTCGTCTCTCTGGTGAGAAATATTGTATAATTGCAGTAGCAAACTTTGTGATAGCGGATTTCCAGAGCTACACAGTCTTTCCCCTGGATTTGCATGAGTATCTGTTGATCATTCTTTCTCTCGGCAACTGTACGTAGAAGACCAGCATCAATTGTTTCTGCCAACATGAGTGGGGTTCTTTTTCTCTTCTTAGTTACCTGGTGTGAAACAAAATTATTAAACTAAATATCTGCTAATAACAAAGTTGGATGTTTGTAGCATAGAAACTACTTTACCCTAAATAAACTTAATTGATCACAATTCAATATATTTTAAAACCAAACCTGAGAATGTTGTGGATATTGCGCTGGTATTATACCTATCAAAATGACCATACATTGTCTAGTGAGAACCATGATGCGTCTCTTCCACAAATAATACATATCTCTGGGAGTACATGTACGTTTCTTTTAGGCAGGGCCTTTATATTTATAGCTTCTGCGACTGATTGACATGTAATTTTTCGCCTTGGTTCTATTGCCTCCACTTCAACGTGTGATTCTTCTGTACTTGACAAGGCTTAACTATCTAGCCTTTTGATTATATACTTCAGCCTTTGTTGGCTTATGAAGTATTTTAGCCTAAATGGCTCTTCTCACTTCACTCTCCGCTCTACCCTCTCAGGTTGTGCTAAGCTTTTATAATAAATTTTAGAGGAAGAAATATAAAACTATGACTAATTTCCTCTACGCAATAAGATTGTCAAAGCAAGTTCTAGCAGTGTTGATCAACCACAAAACCATGTCCTGTTTGCGTGGTTTGTGGTACTATGCGTTTCCCGTGGTTCTCTATCCTTTCTAAGTATTTGCTTAGTCATGCGAGGAAGGTTACCTAAGGTCTTCCTCTTATAATTATAACAGTACTGAATATATAGTATTGAATATTTTAAATAACATGGTATAACACTGCCATCTTACAACAGAATCAATGAATAGTGAATGTAGCTAATGCTTGTTGCGTTTTGCCATGAAAGTAGCCTTGTGGTTTCTCGATCTCTTTTTACCATGAATAATATTATTTGTGTATGTCTATATTCTACACAGTATGTCTGGAATATTATATGTGGCTATTGGCTAAACATAGAGTAACATAAATTAAAAATTAAGGTAAAGTAGAAAGATTCAGATTTGACTTTCACTACCGTTACAATTAACCAATCAGAGATTATAATAACCAATTAACATAAGTATTAAGTCACCGACAAGTAGCTGTAGTGGAAGTAAAATTTAAACCTCTCTATTGTCAGTACTCAGTCTACACAGCCCAATGTTCATTAAAAGGCATCGCTGTATCAACGCATTGATATTCAAAGTAAAGATATTTTTTCAATTCAGTACACAGATAACCAGAGAACAACTTGTCATCCACAATTAATTTGCACTCGTGTTGACCATCACATTCTTTCTTAACAATACATGTTACATTAGCTTCGCAACTATAATCGTCACTCAAACCACATGTCTTTGTGGCAGGAAATGCACGGTACGATGCATTCTTAACCACCATGTACTGATCTTTAGGACAGTTCACGTTCTTTACCATATTTCCATGACACGTGACTGAACCTAGAGCAGAACATAAATTTAGAAATGATAAGCACGAACTGACAATCTCAATAGGGTAACAAATTTTGTTGAGGGGCATAGCGATGTATATAAACAAGAAACACCATTGCTGGACATGACATTTTTTATACAGAAATTCAGCATACATCTCAAGTATATCGAGTCTTGCTCGTGATCTACTTAATATGAATTTCGTGATCGCGCCTGCCGCGTGCGCACGCACGCAAAGCGCTCTGGAAAACTCTTTGTTTTTTTCCCTTAAACACTCAAGATTGGATACAAATTTTAGGAAAAGTTGTGGATAATAACATTGTCTAACGTGTTCTGAGGTTTGCGAACGGTTTTTGTATTTATTTTTCACGAAAAAGTAACAAATTTACGTGGATTTGGTCACTGGATCTGAAATTGTAATTAAAGTCGTTTGTTCAGATGGTTTTACGCGTGATCGTATACAATCGCCAGCAACATGCTGACGACAGCGCGCATTTTCAAACTATGCGCGCGTGCATCACTAATTAATGGACGAAATCGTACGCACTTCGCCTGGAACACTTTTCAAAATCTAGAGGCAACTCAGAGACTGCATTCCTCCGATCGCTACACGGAAGTGAAACGCAACCTTGGAATTTCCTAAGAAATCCACTTTGCAATTCTTAAGCATAAAAGATTTTAGGCCCCCGCAAATTGAAATCGAATTGGTAATAGATTATATAACTGTTGTTGTACTGTACAGAACAGCTGGGCATTTTTTACGGAGCATGCGCGAAGAAATCAATATGGCGACATATATTAGGAGTGCTTCGTGTTTTTATCTGGTTTTAAAGCTGATAAAACAACATTTCAATGAACAAAAATTTGTAATATTTAGAGGAAAACATTACGCTATGCAATCCAAAGGTTTTAAATTAAAAATAAGTACTTTTGCTTTATTTATTGCTTTTTATACTTACAAAATCGGCCAGCTCATTTTTTTTGAAAGTAAGAACTGATTAAAATTTGGTTGAATTTGGTAAAAATTGAACAAGAAATGAACAAAATTTTATCTTGCTTTTCTCGGTTAATTAAAAAAAAATTACTGAATGCGTAATTAGGACGTGTATAATTTATGCACGCAGTACTAAGACAATAATGAGATGATAAACCTCATTAAGCTTCAGCCTTCATTATCTATTGTCTTAGTTTCATTTCACGCGACCGAAATTCAATGTCTAAAACAAGGCTTACGGAGTTACGCAATATTGTGTTCAGCAAAGTACCAGTCCATTCAAATTCTAATAACATTAGATTACTTCATACAGGGCGTATAAAAAAACGCAACCTCGGAATTTCCCAAGAAATCGACATTATTTTAAAGATAAAAGATTTTAGCTGCCTGCAGAGAATTGAAAATAGTACAACTGTCAAAATTACTGCACGCGCGAGTGCATAAAGCAAAATTTATGCATTTATTTAATGACACTTGATAAGTTTTTATGCAATGTGATTCACCTTATTACAAACCACCTACCGCCAATGTAGCCACTGAATAATGCAGGCATTCTTTTTCCGCAGCTTTGTTTTCTGGGTATATGTTAAATAGCAAAGAATAAAATAATTTGGGATAATTTGGCTAGGAGTAACCTTTCTCCTAGCCGATTTATTGAAATTAATAAAACAATAATTAATGATATATATATGTATGAAAATATTAACAATTTTGCCCAGAAAAGGTTGGAGGCAGATTATCGCCCATCTGATTGTCATGAACTGAGATAGAGTATGTACACATATTTACTCTGAGTTACAAGATCAAGTTCGTATTAATACTGGATAGTGTTATATATAGTCAGTGTTAATTAAGCTGAGAGGAGGTCTGGGGAGAAGGTGGGTTGAGATTTAATGTTGATCTGTTCACCAGTACAGTTGTAGTCGAATGATACTTGCTTTGCGTAGCTATCCATTTTATAATGATATCAACCACACCTCTCACCCCCTTACAAGCTTTTCGCGCTCTATTTTTAAGTATGGCGCCAAGCTAATAATATTAAGAGTTCTACTCTTTGTAACGGCTTAACACCTACTTCGCCATGTCTAGTTCTTGCTTATACAAGCACCTTAGATAAGACGATTTTACTCTGATAAATCACATTACATAAATTCCTTATTTTCTTCGCAAATATTTTGTTTTATGCAATGTGATTCACCTTATTACAAACCACCTACCGCCAATGTAGCCACTGAATAATGCAGGCATTCTTTTTCCGCAGCTTTGTTTTCTGGGTATATGTTAAATAGCAAAGAATAAAACAATTTGGGATAATTTGGCTAGGAGTAACCTTTCTCCTAGCCGATTTATTGAAATTAATAAAACAATAATTAATAATATATATGTATGAAAATATTAACAATTTTGCCCAGAAAAGGGTGGAGGCAGATTATCGCCAAATCATCGAAGCAAAACGGAGATGAAACCCCACCCCAAGGAAAAAGAATGCACGCTCATCCGGCGAGATTTATGGGCCACGAAGGCAACCAAGTAGCTTATATCAGCAAAAAGTAGAAATGTAGCCGCCCTTGCAGACTACGGCAGGCGAAATTTGTCATGCAATGTTACTTTGCCTAAGCCCAAGTTTTTGACGGATACAATATTGCCACACCAGTCCTTCATTGAATTAAACATTGGATTGCCTTGTCTGTCCTTACTAAACAGGCAGATAAAATTGCGAAGTAAAACACCCAGGTCAATTGCACAATACGCACTACGTAAGAGAATATACGACATCGCCCTTGCTGATGACATATCGGTGCAATGCGAGTTATGCAACCAAAGGGCGCTGACAGATTGCATGATTGCCCTTGCTAATCACGCTCAAAATCATGCATGGGAAATTTCAGATAAAATTGAGGATAAAACACCCCGCATGTTTTATGCTCAGAAATCAAGGTGAAATGGGGGTTATGTCGATATAGTAGAAATTCGCAAGTATTTTAGAAACGCGTTCGATTTCCAACGCCCCAACGCACGGATTTGCGCATCAGAATAACCATTTTCTGCAGCGTGGGAAGCTGCACCAATCCGAAAAGAATGTGACTTATATTTTGAGGTATCCAAACCGCAATGACGAAAAGCCCTTTTAAGTTGAGTGGCGAATTCGTCACGCGATACTGGAGTACCGAGGTGTGAAACAAAAATAGCCCCCGGCTGAGTGCCTCGCAAAACCAGATAGTCAAGGATCAATTGCACGGGGCAAGCTGTGTTTTGCCGATAAATTTCTAAAGTAAAAGGCCGCTGGTTGTAATTATGCTTAAAATTTTGAAATGTTAACTTCAGGCCTGCCACATGGTTATTCGTGTCATATATCCGCGAGAGCTGATGTATTTGTAGGGGTTGGTTATGTGATGATGTGATCGTTATTTCTCCAATCCGCAGAAAAGCAAAAAATGCTAATGAGCACATAGCTTTAAATTGACATATCTGATAGTGAGAACCAGAAATGTGAGGCGAAGCCTCAATAATGCGGTTGAGAATTGGTAGTGTTATAGGCAACCGACTGTCTAAACGGAAGCCCTTTTTTCCATACCCCTTAAGTATTTGCACAATGTAAAAAACTCTCGTCGGATCTGGTAAATTTGACAATCGATGAGAATAACCAATAGCAGACACATATGTGTTAACTGTTGATGGAGCGTAGTTGAGGTCAAATAAATAAGCAATAAAAAGTGCCAAGACGGAGGGCGACAAAGGCAAAGCTACTGAGCCCACGTGAAAAACATTTAGATGGAATTGTGTAAAAAGTGCCCATGCCCGCCTATACGTTGGAATCGAAGATGGTTGAAGGCTGGATTGAGCCAAATCGCCAACTATATTGGCCAGCTTCCGGGCTGCAGGTGAGATGGAATGTGCGTTGGAAATCGATGCATGTAAGCCGGTGCCAATTGTAGAAATTTTTGGATCTGAAATCGAGATAAACTATCAGCTAGTATGTTTCTGCTACCAGCTATATGTTTCGCTCTAAATAATATATTATGTTCCAAACATATTAATACCATTTTACGTACTAATGTCATAAGACCGGAATCTTTTGAAGTCTGTTTGTTGATAACAGAAACCAGAGCTTCGTTGTCAGTGAAAAAGATTATACACTGATTGTGCATTTTGTGACCCCACAAATATAAACTGAGTACAATCGGATAAAATTCAAGTATGGCAATATTATAATTCCGCCAAGTCGCCGGCCATTTTCGATAGCACCAGTCAAGGCCGAATATAGCACCAAAACCAATAGCGCCAGATGCGTCCGTATATAAGTTAAGTTTATGGTTGTTGCTCCAGTGATCGTCCAAAAATAGGGATTTGCCGTTAAAAGAAGATAAAAATTCCTGCCACACGCGAAGATCATTTTTGACATTGCGCGTCAGCCGAATGAAAAAATGGGGACGAGAGATGCCGCGTGTTAAATCTATTAATCGTCTTAAAAACGCGCGGCCTGGGACAACAACAGAACAAGCAAAATTTAGTAGGCCAAGCAAAGACTGAAGCTCTCTAAGAGTAACTTTTTTGCGACTCAAAAAACTGGCAATGGATTGGATGCACTTCTCGATTTTTTCGCGAGGCAAACGAGCCTCGCATTTAAGTGAATCCAATTCAATACCAGCGAACGTAAGTGTCGTCGAGGGGCCAAATGTTTTGTCTGGTGCTATGGGAATGCCGAGAAACTCACAAAGGGAAATAAATAACTCTAAATGGGCTTTACAAACACAATACGAAGATGAAATAATAAGAAAATCGTCTAGTAAATGAAGGAGTTTGTCGATTCCGAGTTTTTTCTGAGCAATCCATTCAATCGCCGTGCTAAACGCTTCGAAAGTGCGACAGGAACTCGAGCAGCCCATAGGCATTGCGCGGTCATAATAATAACGGTTGCGCCATTTTATGCCCAAAAGATGGTAATCGGCTGGATTGATAGGTATTATTCGAAAAGCATTTTTTATATCAGTTTTTGCGAGAAAACAACCCGGACC